ACTATCAGGAGCGTATAATGACAAGTATTTGTCATTATACGCTCCTGTCATTATGTATACTGTGTAGTGTATGAGGTTATGCGGTTTTGAGGTTATGATTAACTGGTTTCGAGGTTATGGGGTTATGAGGTTCATTCGTCCGAATTACACACACTACTCGCTAATAGTAATAGCAGTGCGTCAATGGCTTACCTTAAATGGCTTAATTACAGTCCAGATGTAGACAAAAGTATACCGTTGCTATGCGTACGCGTGCTGTTGCTATGGCCTGTAAGAGCGGTTGCGTCTCAACTTCTAGTCAGATATGGCTTGCGCCCGCATAACTTCATCTCGTAGCGTTAGTTTACAAATCCATATTACGCTAAGATAACCAGTTACACAATATATACATGAACGAACTAAAATAGCTGTTGCACTATCTGTTAATAACAGTATTATAGCAGACTGTGGTTTAAAATTATCAGGAACCCCTGCCGCCGAAGACGTCACATGTCACTCATAGATTCTCCTGCCATCTTGTGGTGGTTTCTTAAACTACCACTCGCCACAAACTTTTTAGTTTCTGCTTTTCGCAAATACGTTTTTCGATCTTGCATTTTATTCCCAAGATATTTTTTATTTGATTATTCCGGCCAAGGCCTATAAATAAACACCGTGTTTATAACCTGTGTTTATCTATTATATATTTTAATGCCTTGATACCGGCTGTCACCGGAGACCGAAAGATATTTGCCGTTTCAAACACCAGATGGCGCTCTTAGATATTTTGTTATTTACTTTTGCTCTGAGCTTTTGCTCTGCTTTTGCATTGATTTAGTGATCTAATCGCACCTATGTCATGATCTACTGCTCTGTTTTGTTTACTTTTGCACATTCATAGCGTAGATATATACTAGAAACGCGCACAGAGTCTCTATCTTTCTGTGTGGTTGTTCGTAATGAAGTGCGTGCGGTGAAATTGTGTCGCAGAGAAGTGTTTCATTTTCAACGGCATTTGATTTATGAATTGATAGATGGAAATATCATGAACATTTAGTTTACTATTTACTAATTTAGTACTACTACTAGTACTACTTAATATAGTACTACTAGTACTAGTAAAATATCATTATCATGTGTTAATTATTTAAAAATCCCGAGTCAGGTGCGTCAGGTTACAGCAACCGCACAAGGTAGGTTTACATTGTTGTATATGGGCCTTGGCGTTACGTGTACACTTAATGACTTAGTCTTACTCTTAGTCTTAGGTAATCATAGGTGTAGTGTAGTAGTACTAGTACTACTAACTATAGTAGTAGTACTAAGTAGTACGGGTGTTGTGGAAGCAACGGATGTTGACATTTTTAAGTCGAGGCTTCACTCCCACATGCACGCGAACCCACTTTAAGAGTACACCAGTTGCATTGCACTCACATCATCATTATGCACCTGTTTGTTTATTGGGTTTATCCCTGAATGCACTTACTACCTTGTCATTATATCCAGTGTAGTGGACACCGACAAGTACGAGAACATAACAATAACATAACACATGGTAGTAATACATCTAGCCGCCTCATTGTCACTGCCACACACAGTGCCAGTGGCAGTACTGCCAGTAGGGTCGAGACCAGGCAGTATGCATACTACAGTACAGGGAT